AATTTCTAACAACAATTGCCTTAGCCCCCACCGACCCTTGCGTTGACGACCCTTTTATTTTGTGCGTGTCAAAGTGGTGATTCTTCTTTTTTATTAAATTTTCTAAAACCACCACCCATCCTCCCTGCCTCCCCCCCCCCCCCCCCCCCCTTGACGGTTCTTATCTTGATCATTTCAAACTTTCAACGGTCAAATATTCAAAACCCGCAGCAAAGCGAACACCTCCCCCATGACTCATTATTTATTTCAGTCAACATTAAAATAATTCTTAAGTTTTCGAAGTTGAACGACCGTGTCAATCTAACACACAATTAACACGTACAAATCTGTATAAAATTCCCATCCAGTTACCATTAATTCAATTCCTTATATAGCACAAGATTAATAACACGTTCATTCTTCCAACCAAAAAAAGGTAACGCTCGCTACATACCATTCCTTCTTTCTTGAGTTGGTTGTTTCAATTAAACGTCAGGCACATGATGATCTCTACATGGAGAAAGAGAAGAGCAGCACGACTAGCTGGCAAGCAGCGGCCAGAGAGCGAAACGGGAGACATCGAGGTGACAGTACCGAACCATTTTCGATGCCCGGTGTCGCTAGACTTGATGAACGATCCGGTCACCATGTCAAGTGGGATTACTTATGATCGTGAGAGCATTGAGAAGTGGATAGAGGCTGGCAACGTGACCTGCCCCATAACAAACAAGGTCTTGAGGAGCCTTGATCCGATACCAAATCACACAATACGTAAAATGATTCAGGACTGGTGCGTTGCGAATAGTTCTTATGGGATTGAAAGAATTCCAACGCCTAGAATTCCTGTGAGTTCTGAGGAGGCTTTGGAGATTCATTCCAAAATTAAAACAGCCTGTAAAAAAGGAGATCAAGCTGGGTGCCAAAATTTGGTTGCCAAGATTAAGGCACTAGCAAAGGAGAGCGAACGTAACAGGAGGTGCCTTGTGGCTACTGGAACGGCTGGTGTTTTGTCATCTGCTTTCGAAGATTTTTCAAAAGCATCTTTCGATGATAACGTTGCAGTCTTGGAGGAAATACTGTCAGGTTTGGCGGTATTTTTGCCTCATGACAAGGCCACGACTTGCCTCAGTTCAGATGCATCTATGGATTGCGTTGTGTGGTTCTTGAAAAGTGAGGATTTGTCTACGAGAAGAAATGCAGTCCTGGTGCTAAAAGAGCTCGTTCCATTGGATAATAGAAAAGTAGACATGTTATTAGAAATTGAAGGAGCCATGGAAGCTCTGTTTAAGCTAATTAAGGCACCCATTTTCCCGTCTGCAACAAAAGCTTCATTACTGATCATTTATCATATGGTCATGTCGTCGTCGTCGTCGTCTCCAACAAAAGCGAAGATCATAGCTAAGTTTGTTGATTTGGGTTTGGTTTCATTGCTGCTAGAAATGCTTGTAGACGCGGAAAGAAGTACATGTGAGAAGGCGTTGGGGGTTCTTGATGGAATTTGTGACTGGGATCAAGGGAGAGAGAAGGCATACAATCATGCTCTCACAATACCAGTTCTAGTCAGGAAAATACACCGAGTCTCGGACTTAGCAATGAAGTTCTCCGTCTCTATTTTATTTAAGCTCTGCATGAATGAGAAGAGAGGAAATGGCGGTGTTCTTGTGGAAGCTATTCAAAGGAATGCTTTTGAAAAGCTTTTGGTTCTCTTACAGGTTGGCTGTGATGAGAGAACAAGGGAGAAGGCAACTCAGTTGTTGAAGTTGTTGAATGTTTATAGAGGCAGAGTGGATTGTATTGATTCTGTGGATTTCAAGAACCTCAAAAGGCCCTTCTAATTCAAGGCAACAGCCAGAATAGTAGTTTTGTAGACGAGGGTGTTAGGATCTACATTTGATCATGATATACAGCTTCATGTATAAAATACAAAAATCTTACTGTAAATAATTAATTATAGCATTCCAGATTTTGGCCCAAACTTTTTGTCCTCTGATGAGTCTGATCAGATATGCATAACGTTTAGTGTTCCAAGTTGGAGCAATCCAAATTGAACATATTACAATTTGCTGCGTGGATCAACTCATTTTACATCATGAGATTTCATCAATTCGACAAAGAAAACTTTTCTATTATTAATATTTTTTTATTTGGATGAATTGGATATAATTTTTTTTCTTAAAAAATTGAGTCACTGGATAAAAAAGAGTAGAACGATTGATGATATTAAAAGAAATGACAACAAAGTTAATAATAATAAATTATATTCTGAAAAAAGTTCACTTAATTGGCCGAGATAAATTTTTAATTATAAAAAATTATACTTAATTGACTAAAATAGAAAATACATAAATTGATAACATATAGCTTTTCTTTAACAAATTAGTGTAAACAAGGGATGTAAATAATGGGTTTAGCCAAAAATTTCACAAGGAATTTAAACAAGTTTCTTATTTTCCTCATAAAAGCTTAAATATCCACTTTGAAAATACAACGTTTTTTTAATGATTATACCCATGATCACATGCATATTATATTGACAAATTAATCAAATGTTATGGCATCAATTTCATAGTAAAATAGGTTAATATATATTCTTTTATCATTTTATAATATTTTTATCCCACAGTTTAATTGGTTACTGCGTGGCTCTAATGAGCTGAAGATTACGGTTTTTGAGATTAATTTTTTTATCCCATAGTTTTATTGTAACAATGACGGATTTGGCCTTGTGTTTTGAAGTTGTAATTCCAAATGAACGACTTATAAGGTTCGGGCATTTATTTTTTTTGCAGCAATAACATTACCATTAGGTTAACCTTTCAGACTTTTTCCTGAGCTCATACTGGCACAATCGCTCTGCTATTTTATTTTTCTTTTCATTCTTTACTAGCTAGGAAATAGAATCAAAGAATCGTGAAATCCAGCAGTTAACTGATAGATATCTCTAAAGCTAATAGAAGGCTAGTTTTACTTGTAGCATTGGATCATCTTCAATATGTATAATCAAGTCCAGGAGAACTGAGTTAAGAGTAGGATCTCTGGAATCTGCTCGTATACACTGAACAGATTAGCTAGTCAATGTGCGTATTCAACATGGAAATCTTTTTCTGAAGAAAGATAGGCGATTGCCTTTTCTTTTTTCTTTTTTTCAGGAAAATGATTGCAATAAATTGTTAGTTCAGTTGCAGTGACCATGAATAAAAATAACTGGGTTTACATTACGGAAACTCTTGAATAATCTTCCCTCCTCTGAAGCCTGACCTGAGTTACATATGGAATACAAGATTGATCAGAGGCCTGTGGTTTGACTGTTGCCATCAATTTATTGAATTAAGGTCGATTGTGACTGATCTGAGCATTGATTCCAAGAAAGGACAATTCAACGATGCTTATCCAGAAAAAAAGGGGAGAAATTAATGCTCTTGAAGAGCTTTTATTTTTCTGGGAGCCAAATCAGACCACAATCAATCTTTTTCGAGAAGTTTAATATTGCACTTTTGAATACATTTTAAAACTGTGTTTAATTTTAAAAAATATATTAAATTAATATTATTTTATTATTTTTTAATAATTTACATATATTATTATCAAAAATAAAAAAATATTTTAATATATTTTTAAATAAAAAAATATTTTTTTAAAAAAACACAATTCAAATCACAACCTTCACCGGAAACCGCTTCGCGAAGAGAAAAAAACTGAGAGGGCTTCTTGGGTTGATCAAGGCCCAACGTAACTTCAAGATTGTGGCCCATGATCAGACACTTTTACTTTCGGCTCTGCGTGAGTTAGTTTTTCTTGTCTTTTCTTTGATTGTCTGGGCCGCATCGACGTATCCCGAATTAAGTTCAGTCTATTTCCGAGTGGCCCAGGAAAGGAAAAGGAAAAGGATGTAATTGACAAAATGATATTTAAGTTTTTACTAACTGACCTAAACATGCTATAAACTTTGGATTAAATTAAATTTAGTCTCTAAAATTTATTTTTTATTCAAATACCTCAAAATACTTTTTGATAAAAAAGACTTCCCTTAATTTTTTTTAGTTGAATATAGCCTAGAAAAAACTTCCCTTAATTAAATGAGAGGTGGAAAATAGTCACTAGCTAGTTTTACTTATTGGATTTTTTTTATTGGTCTCAATAAATATATATAAAAAAAAAATCAATGCACGTAAAGATGATTTTATCGTTTCATTATTACTTTGCACCTGCAAAATAAATTGTCAAGCTCCGCCGTTCCATATTATAAGAATATTTTTGGTGGAAATTACCCTTCTTAATTGACAATATCAATATATTAATTACTAAATGAAACGAAATTCTTGCTACTTTCAGCTAGTTTAATACCTGTTTTGTGAATTAATATTTTTCCAAATATAATATAAAGTAATTTTATGAAAATAAATATTTTAAGAATTAGCAAAATGACGCCGAGGTAAGTAAACAATGGAGCTAAATTGTTCAAACATGTCCAAAACTATTTGACCATTTTGATTAGAACCCTCGAAGTTGTTTTTTTTATTTTATTTTGACATTAAACTTTAAGGTATTCTGATAGACAGATATTCTGCTACATTCCATCCATTTCTTAAGATCACCAAAGAAATCACAAAATTACCAGGTGTTAATGATTATCAAATTCTAAATTGTGTTTTAATCATTGTTTCATCGAGGTATGATTTTCTAATATGCTTTTCTGACCTATTTTTTATATTTTATATTAAAAAACACATGCAACTCATTTGTTATTTAACGGGAACAATCGATGGAATGTAAAGAAAGCAGTGTCATACTTCAGGGGTTGAAATAATAATAATAATAATTAAAAAAAAAACATATAAGCATGAGACGTCAATCGAGAGGCTTGTAGTTCACGAAGCGTCTCTGTAGATTAGCCTAATCAATGGCGACAACGTGTTACGATGAGGATTTTCTCAACACGGAATTTAGAGAAAACACACAATGCCAACAAGTTTAATAATATATATAAATTTACTGTCATAAAAAATATTGAGAATTGCTTCAACAACGTAGTTAGCTAGCATTAAAATCTCCATGGAAATGCCGGATTACCTGCTGACGACGATCCATCGCTATGGGGAAAGTAATTACGAGGTTGATGAAAAGGGTTTGGATTGTAGACTTGCATTTGCCATTGATCTAGCTCCTCTCCTTTCGTGTCTTTCAAACAAATAAGCTGATTCTCGTACCCATGTGCATCTCCATGGCCATTGCTAAGGATCTGAGGGTAAATCAGCAAGTGCCTTCGAGGATCATTTGAAAAAGAATTAAGTGAAGCTTCTAGCAAGGCCTCCCAGTTATGATCTTCTCCATCTTCGAGCTGAATTAGATTTTCCATCTCTTCATTTCCCATCTCATTTCTTTTTGCGAAACCTTTCTCGTCAGATTTCTCCAATTCAGAACTAATCTTAATTAGATTATTTCTCTGAACAACTTGATCATCATCTGTTGAAGTTGATTTATACTCAACCCATGAGGATGGTGATGTAGTAGATGTTGATGACTGATCAGTTAGCTGCCACAGCCCATTGAGAAAAGTCTCGAGAGCCTGAATATGTATCCGTGGAATTTTGTCTATAAAAGGGTATTCATATGAACCACAAAAACCTTTAGCCTTACACCAATCATAAAACTCGCAAAGCTGGCTCGCTTGCGTAGCAGATTTCTTGTAAATCCCGAAAGCCGAAACACAACTGCTGTATGGCATTTCAAGCAAATTATCCAAAACCAAAACAATTTCTCTTCGAAAAGTTGTGTAACAAATAAAACTATCACGAATGATAAGTTTCATTGCCAATTGGACAATCAAGCTCCTAGCAGCAACCTCAGTTGGTGTGCAGTCCATTACTTGGTCTATTAGGCTTTGAAGTTGTGGCAAAAGTTCAAGCTTTCTACTCACCTGTTTTATTTTATGCTGTAAGCTCTCATGCATTACTTCTTCTTCTGTTCCCTTGTTTTCCAAGGAAATGCAACCAAGAGATTGGTCGAGTAATTGTGCGTAGGACCTAATAAACATGGTGTGATCTTCAGGATTTGAAGATGAATCGTCTTGGAAATGGCATGGATAGAGAGAGAGCAAACCATTGGATATCGTCCATAATAGTTCTGCTCGGAAAGGGCTATGTTCAGGCAAGGACCTGAGCAAACGGTGGAGGAGAAGGAGGCATTTAAGAGCAACTTTCCAGGATCGAGTTTTGCCAAAACGGCGAGCGAAGCTAAGAGAAAAGGAGCGATACGATGAGGGAGAGATGGAAAATACCTTCAAGAGCTCGTGTACGTATTTTTCAGGCAATGGTAAGTCATCAGGAGCAGTTGCTTTGACAATTATGAGATCAACATCACAAAACCCTCCAACTGTAGCTATTTTGGCGTAACTTACGGTGCTGTGCTCCTTTAGAGCCAAAAAAACTTGCCTGAATCGCTTGTGCATGTCTACAAGAGGGAGAGTTGAGTTTTGAACGGCAAGGGGTGTTTTTGTTAGGGATCAGAAGCCTAAAAAGTAACGGCATGAACATAGGTTATTAGCTGTCTGGTATAAAATGCCATGACATATTGTTTAGCACGAAGTATCCTCGGTATGCTCGGAACTAAAACTTCGAGGAAAATATTTGTTAGCTGCTGTCACATGGGAGTGGAACTCTGCGCTGTACAAAAGAGGGACATGAAATATTAAATAACTAGTATATTGATCGCCATCAGTAGCGGGTGAATAACCATTTTAATTTTAAATTAAATAAAAAATAAAAAATATAGTGAATATTTTGATCATCTTGAATCTGGCGGTAATAACAGACCTAAAAATCTCAAGTCTTGAGACAATATCAAACCCAATTACATTGGATGTTGCTAAACCGATGACGATTTTGAAGGAATAAAAGGCAAATAAAAAGGTCCCACATCCTTAACTTTTCAAAGTCTTATAGTTGTCATTTCCTTCCTTTATCCTTTACTTGTTTGCTAAATATCCATGCTTTACTGGTGAGTGCTTAAAGATGCATGATAATAAATGTTATTATTGTAATTTTATGAAGATTATTATCATGTATCTCTGAGTATTCATACCCGTCAAAATAGATTGGAAAAAAAAAACTCCACTTGAGGTTTGATGTGGAATATGTTGAGATTCAAGGCTAAGCGCGAATCGGTACGAGGATCTCGTGCTAAATGGATGAAAATACTTAAGTTAAAGCTTGAAACTTGGAGTCAAGAATAATTTAGGCACATATGGCCTGGTTTTGATTTTTAATTGTTTTGCCTCGTCTGTTTTGATAATTGGTGGAGATAAGATTTTTCTTTTTATTTTCTGCATACTTTCTTTGAATGTTCAACGTCTGTAGCAAACAAAGGAAGAAACTATTGAACACAAACATTACCAAGTTCAGGTCTATAATACAAACAGATAATTTGGAATAAAGAGAAAACAGACTTAACCCCCACCAGCCCAACACACACGCACGCACGCACGCACGGACTGTTAACAACAAGGCAAGAACTTGGTATTTTGTAACGAGCTAAGAATTTAGTTCTTATCAAGTGCAAGAACTTTAACTGCTTCTTAAACCCAGCCAATACTCCGCGATATTTTATAACGAACTAAGAATTTAGTTCTTATCAAGGGCAAGAACTTTAACTGCTTCTTAAACCCAGCCAATACTCCGCGATATTTTATAACGAACTAAGAATTTAGTTCTTATCTGCATTATTTCCCACTCTAGCACTTCCCATAGGGCTATTGTTTTGATTTAAGTAGTGCAAGGACTAAAGTTTAATCCATCAAAAATCTTAGCTTTAATCCTAACTAAGAAAATCTGTCAGATCCATATTTTAGATTTCTCCATAAGAAAAATTTGTATCTTAAGCAACTTTAATCCTAATTTTCAATCTTCCTAGCTTTTGACATGCTAATCTCATCCAAACTACAGGAGCCTTTCTTGTTCCCATGATCTTCGGATGCCTTTCAGTACCCATCTCTAGTTTTAGGAGTTATGATGATCAGCATTAACCTGAAAATCCGCATCTGAATTCATATCTCCTTAACAAAACCTAACACCATTATCCTTCGCGATCTCTCCATGGCTATCCATTTGGATTTTACTAGAAACCATCACACAGCTATGAATATCAGAGGGATTTTTGTAAAACCCATAGTGGCAAAGAAACTAAGAGGGAGATGGACGACAAATGGGGAAAGCATGGTGATAATGGTTCTTGGAAAATTTTGCCTTCCCCGTTTAGACATCTCACAGGATTGTTTGTGTGTTTTCACAGATCATGAACGCCTCACATACTATTCAATCATCTCGACAATAATGTAGATGACCTAGTCAGAACAGATAATTACCAAAACTAATGAAATGGTATTAAGCATTTCCCCCCCTCCTGATGTGGTTAAAAAATATAAGCGATAATGCAAGAAATTCTTCTTGCAAATACTGAATGAAGTTAGTTGAAGGAATAATTTAGTAGACCTACATAGTTTAGAAAAAGATTGCTTCCATTAATAGTTCAGGGGAATGCCTGACACGGAAGAATTTAAGTTAAAGTGCTTTCTAAACAAGCAAGACTCTTAAATTTAGAAATTACTTGCTAGATGGACAGGGGAAAAAGTGCAACATTAATATACAAAGCAAATACCTGATTTCAAAGCTCTTCAAGAAATTCAGAGTATGTAATGGGCTTTTATGTCATTGAATTTGGCAAGGAATGGATGCTTTATGTTATCAATTAAAATTTCACAGGAGAACCATGAGCGCATTCTGCAGAGTTCATAAAAGATATAATAAGCACAGCAAATAAGCCTGGAAGAAACCTGTTACAAAATTGTTCCCTTTAAAGCATGGAACGCACAGAGTCTTTTCCGGTTTACTTGCAAAAAGAAAACTCTCAAACCAAGGACCCAGCCTCCCGTCTATTTTGAGCTAAAACAAATAAGAGGAATGCTGCGATGTGGAATCTCTCTACGGAATCTGGTGGTTAGCAATTGCACGAAAATATTTACATGAGACAACAAGACCTTCAGAAATGAACAGAACGACAAAAACTAAATATCAAATGCAAAGGTTGGATCTTGGATTCAAATGCATGTCTCTAAACAGCTTGTACATGCACATGTCAGCTTTTACCGTGCTGTGAACGTAGGCATAATCAAAGATGAATGAACTAGAAAATGGCACTAAATTAAGTGTGGTGGTGTGCCAATTAAGTAAACAAAGTTAATATCATATTGATATAAGATTTTGATGTCTCTACGACAATAGCCTCTTCCATTCCTAAAGAGCTCAGAAAACTCCCTCTTGGACATCGTCTGCATGCAATACTGCCAAGTCAAATATCAAGCCAATATATCGTAATCATCACATAAAGTATAGCAGCTAAAATTGACAACAAACAGTATTTGAACTATTACCATTAAAAAGTACTGTAAAATACAATTAAGAGAACTCAACAGAGCACACCAAACTACAAATGTTATCTTTACTGAGACGTTTGAAGACGTTGCTTTTTATCTCAGCAAAGTTATTGGATACCAGCAAAGCATTATTGTGAGCATCTATACAAGTTGACAAAGTAATTGCCTGAGCTAATAAAATGAAAGAATGAAGAAGAGTAAAAAATAGGCAAGGAGAACAAAGAGAAAGCTGGCTTGCGTGTTCACTTCTATTTTATGGATACAATATTCCCGCGACTGTTAAAAAACACAAAAATTACAGAAAAACGATACCCAGAGCAAGGGTATTTGAAAAAGGCGTAGCTGAAGCTTGATCAGAGATAAATCTCAAAATCCAGAATCTCATATTTTCTGGTGAACAACTTGCAAGCCCTTCTGAAGAACTGAATAGAGCCTGCGGTGCATCCCCACCAAAGCTCTGACACAGTTTGTAAAATATATGTATTGAGGATAAGCAATAAGTAGCCAAATGATTAAAATCAATTAACCACGTATTACAATCTCTCAGGGTCATTTTAGAGCAATTCTCATCAATCATCAAATAATGGTCAATAGAAATACAATCTCAATAGTTGTTGACACGGTGATATCAGTAATCTGGACAGAGGAAGATTGTTTCGGATAGAAAGCCTATAAAACCATCCACAGCCAAAACTTATCCATGGCTGAAACCTGAATAACAAAGAAAACAAGAACAAATGGAAAAGTTCAGGAGTTGTTTACAAAGCCATTCCCGTTTCATCTTAATTCTGCTAGGACTCAGAGATGGACAGCAGGGTGCTTCAAATATCAAAAGAGTTTCTCATGTTTTAGGATGTTGGAGAAATTTCTCGTACCAAAACATTTGTCCATAGACAAGTTAATACTGCAGCAATCATGTAAATAACAGTGCATCCTTCGATTACCTGTTCGGTCCAAAGGTACAGCGCCAAAAGCCACCGTAATATATCATATAGTTTTATAAATTTTATTACCTTTTCATTTTATTTTCATGGTAAAAATTTTCTAAAGTCAAAATCATTCAATAAAAAAAATTAAAAATTGATATCAAATTGAAAAAAAAAATATTGTACGAATTATAAAAAAAATTGGGTTAATTATTTTCATAGATATTAAAATCTATTTATTATTTTTGTTCAAACATTATAGATACAATACAAAAACACATAATTACGATAGCCATAATAATATAGAAGCTAGATTATCATAATAATATAAAATTCTATCATCCTTACAACGGGGGGACATATAACTACTTATAAAAGTGTTTCACAGCTTTTTAGTGGTTGCTTGAGTTTAAAAAAAAAAAAATATTGACTAAGGCCCCCAACTTTAACCTATCAAATCATATTTAATTTATAAAATCGCAATGTAGGGATGCCTACTTAAAATCATCCAAATTTAGTTTTTGTTAATGTAAAATATGGTCTAAGATATTATTTTATAATTGTGGTAGAAATTATTTTTAAAAATATTTAATTTAAAAATATATTTTATTTTTAAATTTATTTTTAATATTAACATATTAAAATAATTTAAAATAATTTTTTTTAAAATACTATTAAACCACAAAACAAATTGCCGTTAAATATATCATTTATCATCAAACTTTTTTTTAAAAAAAAAACCCACTAATTGGAGGCTTTGTATAGCAAGTGTTTCCATCTGTTACCACCGTTCAACGGGGGTAAGGAAAGAAAGCCACGCTTGTCTTCCTCGACAAGACATACGGATGCAAAAGGAGTTCATGTTGACTTTTAATTATTATTATAAAAGTCGATGTAATATTGAAGTTACTGTATAATTAAAAGAAATTACTGGAAAATAAAAATAAAAATAATTTAAGATATCAGTTATTCTAAAATAAAATGTTTTATGGACCCTGAATAAATCTAAACTCTTATAGAAGAATTTAGTATTGAAGTTTCTCAACCATTCACTTTGTTGAAACTAAAATCTAATTGCTTTAAGTTTTATCTAGTATTGTGGTGTTATTATATTTTTAAAAAAAATTGAATTTTTTTGTTTTAAATTAATTATTTTTAATGTTTTTAAATTGTTTTGATATATTAATCTGAAAAATAAATTTAAAAAATATTATTTTAATATATTCTCAAACAAAAAATATTTTAAAATACAATATATATCCCACTCATATATATATCCTTCAAATCCAAAGAATTAAAAAAATAATTTAATTTTTTTAATACAACTAGATCAAATATTTTCAAGTATATTTAATATTATAGTACTGGTTATTTTTAATATTAAAATATATTAAAAAATTATTTTTATTTAAAAAAAATTATTTTTAATATTAATATATTAAAATAATTTAAAAATACTTAAAAAAATTAATTTTTTTAAAAAACATTTTTTTTTCTGCCGAAACAAACAGCCTATTCGGCTTCGGCGCTATGTGGCTTATAGGGTATAAATCCCATTTTGACCAAAACTTTTCGTCTCCATCCGATAACACTGGCATTTAACTATCAAAAGTGAACGAAAAGCTAAGCGTCATGGTTCCGATTCATCGGCTCAACCGATAATTCTTCGTTATTGATTTAACCAGCAGGTGAATCGCCAGTTGAACTGATATATCTCTGATAATTTTTTTTCAAGAATAGTATATAATTAATGTATGTACTAATTATGTGCTATTCTATTTGAAATTTCAGTATAGTAAATTTGCCAAGAGTAGAAAGATAAAGAAACCAAGTCCCGGATTGTCCGAGCCTTTCATCGAGTTCGTGCAAAACCAATCTATTTTAATTATTTAGATGATTAAGTGGTAATAACTTGAGATCAAGAGATTTATTTTCTTTGTGGGTTTAAGTTCGAGTCCTTACTTGTTCATATAATGGTTACTAGATACTTATATAATCATTAACTTTAGAGCTCGTGAGATTAGCCGTGGTATACGCAAGTTGGTCTGAATACCCATATTAATTAAAAAAAAAAACCCAATTCATTTCAAAATCCCTATTTGAATGAAAAATCCAATGAGAAATGACATATAGGATTATCCATGGAGATACCTGCTTGTCGAGACAAAGCTCAGTGGAGACCAAATCACTGGCAGGTAGGTTTAAAATGTTCTGAAACTCCTCCCCTGCTCCGTAGAAAACCCGATTTCCGATTAAATCAGGATGAGGTAATATTCTAAGCGGAAAGGGGATTTCGTTTGTCTGCTGTTGTATGTGATAAGCAAACCCTTCAGCTATCACTATCTTCTTCAAGTGTTCCAAAGGGCTGCCTGGCGGTCTCTGTCTTGACTGATCTGGGGAATGATTTCTACCTTGCAAAGCTTCATATTATAGTACCGTTTTAATTGGAGGTCCATGGATGCCCAGGAATGGAGACCGAATTTTGATCCTGGAGAGGTCAAGATTGGTCGGGTGGTGGTTTGGGTCGGAGACGGTGGATTTTACTTTTTCTAGGCAGCACATGCAAATAAAATAAGTCTAGACGGCTAGGAGTGCACATCACCAACTAATTAAAAGAACAGTCAAATTTTCCAGGACGTGGACAAACCCATTTATAACTGATACATCAAGAAAGATTTTATTGGGAAACTTTTGGATATAAATTATTAGTTTATAAGATTATAACTGATATATAATTATCAGTTCCAATTACATTTTTTTAAAATTATTTTTCAAAAACACCGGATTGAGAAAAACACGTAGTTTTTTTAAATATTTTTATAATAATTTTTTTTTGTTATTATCAAATTAGTTAGAGATATATATATTTTAAAAACACCAGAAAAAATGTAATTTTTTATATATTCTCATAATATTTTTTTTATTATCAGATCAGTGAGTAATTGGATTTTTGAATAAATATCAAGAATAAAAATAAAAAATAAAAAAGTGTTGGGATACCTATTATACATCTAACCACTTATATATATATATATAAAAAAAAACTTTTTCAGGAAGAAAAAAAAGAAAGAAATATACAACGGAGATTTTCTTGAAAAACAATGTGGTTTCCTCGAAGGAAAGATAGATTGAAGCTGCCAACTGTCTTTTTAATTAAAAAGAAAAGGAAAACCTTAACAAATCGATAACCATCATTTTTATTTATTTATTTATTTATTTCATTTCACTTATTATTATCAACCGGCTTTACTGTGGTAGCTTTTATTCCGAGTGGTTTTTAAAAACGTTTTTCCTTTTAAAAAAATCAAACGAATATTTTTTATTTACTCATATTAAAAATAAAAAAATATATATTAATGTATTTTCAAACATAAAACATTAAAAAAGACACAGAGCACACCACTGACCACACTGCTGAGCAGAACAGGCTGTGTATGTTTAACAAATTTCGGAGCGAATACAGGAATTCTTTTCCCTGTACCTTTTGCATTTAATTACCTTTACATATAAAGACCCCCACAAAGTCAAGGCTGTCTCTGTAGTTTATTGTCTCTTTTCTGCCACAATTCAAAGGACAATATGGGCATTCACATTTCCATGATTGAGGATAAATTATGACTTGCAATTTTGAAAAGGCTGACTTACTGGATAAAAGTGAGGCTCCATAAAACCAAATCTCTTTTTGTCAAATCCCCAAGATTTCTTTTCCACCTCATCACTATCTTTTCACGAGTAGAAAACTCGTCACATTAATTATAATAATAAAACATACAAAGACGTGATGGTGTTTTTTCACTAATTATATATATTTTTTAAAAAATATCATAACTCTTAGTTTACTGTTTTAAAAAATATTTTTAACTTGAAAATATATTAAAAAATATTTTTACTTGTGATAGGTTTTAGAAAATTATTTAAAATAATAAAAAAATGAGATATACTCAGTTTTCATTCGTACAAAGTTTTGAAAATACTCCTTGTCGATGAATTTCGCAGGGAAGATGAAAGACTCACTAAGAATAGACTAAATATTGAAGAAAATTGACTGTTCTGATTACATTAAGAAGAGAATTAAACTCTCTCCAGTTCGGAGAGCCTAGCATGATATTAAATGGGACAGTGAAAGGATTATGAAAGCGATCATCATCATAGTACACCACACTATTTTGTATCATTTATTTTATTTTCTATGGCAAGAATAAATGAGCATGGGCAAGCACAGTGCCATCTCAGGACTCCACAACCGGGTTAACTTTTGTTCTTTTAGAGTTCTTCTGTAGAAAATTTTATGTTTTTTTTTTTAGTATTTTCCATAATAGAGAGATATTGTACATTACATTCCCGCCGCTGGTAGGCCACTTCTGTGCTGAGGAGAGCAGTAAACAACATTCACAACGAGTTCTCTTTCCATTTATGCTCTCTCTCTCTCCTTTTCCTTCTTAATTTATCTTGTGCATGCCTCATATCAACATAAACCTTCCATATTCCTTATGCTTTCCCTTCTCTCTTTTCTCTTCTTTTGCTCTCTTCCTTTTCACAACCTCTGCTTGCAAAATTCTTGGTTTTCACTGAATTGAACTGCCTATTAACAACAGTACAGTTCTATCTCAAACCACAAGAAATGGTATGAGTTCTTTGTCTTGGATCAATTTTAATTGTTGCTACTTCTGTCACTCAGTTTGATTGGTTTTTCAGCAATTTTAGACTCTTGGACTGTTTGCTTGTTTCTCAGTAGAGAGAAATTTAAGAAACTCGGATGTCTGTTTTTGTTGATTGGAATTAGTTTCAGGCAATTTGATTTAATTGACATCTTTTTTTATCTTATCAATTTGTGATTTGAATTATTGGGATTACTCAGTTGTTGAATTGAATTACAATAAATAGTCTTTGATGTTTTTTATTGTTGCAGGTAGGCTGCAAAATTTATTTAAAAAACTCGGATTGGCTCACTACTCTCCTCCATAGCGATTTCTTTGATTCTTGCAGCAACCATCAAGAACGTAGAAAGAACGAGAAAAACGTGTTCTGTATTGATTGCAGTGTTGGGTGTTGTCGACATTGTATGGAGTCTCATTGCCTTCATAGACAACTCCAGATCTGCAAATATGTTTACCATGATGTTGTTCGCCTTCAAGAGATTCAAAAACATCTAGATTGCTCTAAAATTCAGGTTTTTTATGTATTTGTTAGTTGTTGTGATTGAATTATGTATCTTTCTTGATAAAGAGTTGGAGAGTAAAGTTTTCTGATAAAGAGGTCTTTAATGGGATTAAATTTATCAGATTGTTAATCTCTTTCTGTTTTTCTTATCTCTCAATCCTGTCGTTCTTTCATTCCCCCTTTTGATAGAATTTTATTTGCAAATGACTGATTATGGTTTCTGAAGGAAAACTAATTTGATTCGGCAGACCTATAAGATCAACGGTGAGAAGGCTATTCATCTGAAACCACGGCCTCAGCCTAAAGATGCAAGACCATCCACGAAAGCAAAGTTCGGTGCTTCTTGTGAAGCGTGTGCAAGATATCTGCAAGATGTTCCCAATCGTTTCTGCTCCATTGCATGCAAGGTAACCAGGATTAAATTTATAGTATCGGCATCATTTTATTGCTTTATGTTTGTTCTATTCCAACAATATTTTCATTCGAATCGAGGGACTGGCGCCTTGCTTGCTCACGATCGCAAAGAAATACCCCTCACGGTGATTTCTGATTGTATTTTCAGGTTTCAGCTGTTTCAGTGGAGCTTAAAGATCAAAGCCAGGAAATCATCTCCTTATCAATTCAGGAATTTACCGACCTTTCCTGGAAGGAAAACCCCAATGCAGAAAAGCATTCAAGTGAGAACGAATCGTCACTTTCCTTGACTGATATGTCTGAGGATACTCAAGGCTGGATGAATTCAGCTTTGAAACCAAGAAGACAATTGCACAAGAGAAAAGGGGTCCCTCGGAGGGCGCCACTATGTTAGTCAAAACAATAACCATGTTCTTTCCTTTTTCTTCTTTCCCAGAATTTTTATATATATATATATATATGATACATTTATGGTTCATATTAAGGTACTTAATAATAATAATAATAATAATCCACAAATAGCCTTTAAGAACATTTCACTCCTAGGTGGCCCCCATTCGGAGATAAAAGGTGGGTTAGTTGAGATGGAGAGCCCACAACAAGAAAAAAATCACTCGAGGCTGTATAGCTTGTTTGTGTGCGTGGTATATAGAAATAAATAATAATGGAGATGATGAGCTTTGCATCTGAATCCATGCTGAAGAGTCTAAATGGTTTCAGTAGGACTTAGTTGTGTTGTTATTTCTGCCGGTAGTATTTTTAACTCTATGTAAAATGGGATATTCCTCATCGCAAGAGTGGTAAACATTCAGCTGTATGTATGCGTGATTATGATTTGATTCCACTTGGGGACTCTGTTTTTTATGGGAATGTTTCTAAATTGGTTGGCATGCATGTGTTTGCTTTTTCTTCTCTTTTTCTCTAATGCGTTAGCCCGTCATATATCGAGAGGTTTGTCTCAATCTCTGTCGAAATTGGTAAATATGGAGTTTGCAGCTTGGTCTTTAGTTGCTGTCTAATTTGTCCAGTTGGGGTCCTCTCCTTACATCATGGGAACAATGTTTTGTTAAATGCTGTTATCTTATGGAATGTGGCAGACAAAAAGGGCCGCCAGAATAGTTCATAATCAGTGGCTAAGCCATGAAATAACTAAATAGCTACATCTATGAGCATGTTGCACATGGATGGTTTTCCCGTTTTTTCTTGGGCAGGCATTTTACTGTGCCTCCGTGCCGTGCTCGTGGATTTTGTATTCTGCTTGTTGTAGAAAAGCAATGGGCTTTGTGTTCAACTTGTAAAAAAACATAAAAAATTGAGGTTATGGCCGTTTTGGAGAGTTTATTGTGACGAGCTTTTGAAGCTTGAACAGTAATGAAGTGTCCACTGAGACTGGTCGTTTTTGTCCTTACGAGTCGTGAGTGCAATGACTGCTTTTTTTAAATTAACGTAGATATTCGGATTAGTTTACGTGCATCATGATAAATTTCATAAGCTCTGAAATTAATGACCAACCTTCTTTTGTTCCTGGATGTCATGAAAACAAATACTGTGGTTTCTTTTTACAGGCGGCAATGTAGAGGGTTTTAGGTTATGGCCGGAAAAAATAGAAGTGCTTATAGATCACGAACTGGTACATTGTTAGAGGATGCGTACATTCATCATTATGAACTCATTCTAAATCAGGGTGGCAGGAGCCTCAATGTAAAGTGTAAGAGCGATACTTCTGGGGAGTGTCTTTAATTTCGTTCTTTCTTTTTCTTCAAATTTTTAAAGCAATTTGTTTTGTTTGTTTCAAAACAATACATTGTGAAAGTTTCTCCAAACAGAATAATTTTAAAAAATGCCATTGGGTGTTTTTATTTTGCCCTTTTTTTTAAAAAAAAAAACAAGTAAATAAGTTTTTTTTATTTCTATTTTATAGCAAAAATAAAAAAATAAAATGGTATATCATCTATGCATGAAGCATGGAACCTTATAAAATCTCTTTCAGTCCAATGAAACCGGTTTTTAATTTGGTTTTATTTAATTTTTAATTTTTTAAAAAATTTAGTTTAATTATTTTTTATCTCAAACTAAACCAAAACACTTCTAATATACATATTCAATATAATATTTGACATGTCATTTTTTCATGTATTTCAATATATATTGAATTATTGAAAAATAAAATATTATTTTAGGTATTTAGTGTTACTTTAAAAATATATTTTTATATATATTTAATGCTTATGGATACTTGATGGATATAAATCAATTATTTCCAAGATAGAGAAAATAGGGTATTTTTTATGATTTTTATATACAATAAAAGTCATTCACAAATTGTGTGAAATCAAAATGAATTATTTGAGTGAATGTGACATTTCTACTTAGTTAATAAACTTTCTATTTCTTAAAATCAGTTGATTGTATTCCATGAAATGCTTCTTATTTACCTATTTTTAAATAACAAGATATAGAAGATATAGAAAGTATAATTTATCAATGTATTCATAATATATCATTGGAATAGGAGGGAAGGATATGTAAATACCCTTTAGTCTTAGCTTCTTGTCCAACTAAAAAGACAACATTGCTCGAGAAAGAGAAATTTAGCTTTAAGAAAAAAGGTGTTATGTATGGTCCCACACCATGTGATGATAAGATCACCACATTAATTGAGAAGATAGGTAGCTAGCTCTCTTTAAATTAAATGGTTCGGGTACTGTAGACGCAGTAGCAAAATTTGAACAAGAAAGATGAAGAAAATCGAGAGAAAGAAAGAAGAAAAGACAGCAGAGTAGCCTGTGTTTTTTTTTTTTTTTTTCCAGCTTGTTCATTGTTGAATCGGACTGAGATTTTGATAGTAGTTTCTAAATACGTTACTCTTTATTCTGAACGGCTAGATCGCAGATTGGTGGTGTGAAAACTGGCCGTTTTAATAAAAAACGAGGTTGTCAGTATTTGTGAGTTTTTTTTCAAATAATTCTCCTTTAATCTTGTTGTATTCCAAGAATAAGTTGTTCTTGATGATATATATGTTGTATTCTTTAGTTGAATTTAAGAAAGAACAATTGTGAACCCATTATTTGTTGATAGTGGAAGTTTTTAGGTGGATTACGGTTCCGTAGTTTTTCCCGTATCGAGTTTTTCACGTTAAAATCTTAGTGTTGATTTATGTGATTATTTGCATTATATTTGATCATTATTTGATTTTATTTTTACTGTATAAAGAGAAAAAAAGATTCAAACTTATAAATTATGAATTGTGTTTAGCTGAACTGATCCAAGTAAATTAATATTCATTTGTTCCTTAGAAAAGAGCTAAATCCATCTTTCTAAGCAACTGGGCATTGATTTATCTCTCGGCTTGTGCATCCATTCATACTCCTAATCTTTATTTATTTATTTTTGTTTCAAAGATCTCTCTTATATTTATTGTTTTAATATTGTTTGAAATTTCATTTTTGTCACGAACAAGCCTGCATTTGTTCCTTACATTTTATGATGAGTATATATACAGAGAAGAAGATGTTGGATGGTCGTTTTGATTCATTGAGCTCTAATGTGGACTTGACCCGAGATCCGAGACCGGGCGGGTAATCATCTCTCTTTTGTTTTGTTGTCATCTGACCCGGTAACTTCTTACCGATAACTTGACATCAATAATCACTGATGGCAGTGTGCGTCACCCAGTCGCGCTAAGGCACTGATATATCCCGTCTCCAAAGCTCTCGAATTTGACTCTCTTTGTAACAACAACCAAGAAAAAAAAAAGAACTAGAGAAGATAAGTTGGTATGTTGAAAATGCTTATGACAAATTATCATCAGTGCCAAGAGTTAATATTTACACAAAAATCAAGAGGAATTTATACCGGAAGCATTGCCTTATTCAGATGCACAGCTTCTCTATTTATCATTTTTTCACGACAATAAAATAAAATAAAATAAAAACCTTTCACTGAGCTATACTATCATGTGTCAGCCTGTTCTCCCATTCCTTTACAGTTTTAGACTCACAACTATTCATCAAAACTGGAAATGGAAAACCAAGTCAATACTTCTTCCTACCACTCTTGCACCTACAACATACAAACATACGAGGGGCAGCTTCATTATCCTTAATGCTGTTGCACCTTGTATGTTGCCACACATGGCAAACATCACAGGCCACCATCCTCTCCCCATCATCATCTTTAGCCCCACACCTACAATCCACTGTCCAATCATCAGCACCACCTTGATACCTCAGTTTTGTATCCAAGTCTAGCCCACACCCCCTAACCCAAACCTGCACACCTTGCTCCACTTCGCACATTACCCCATCCTGGTACTCCTTTTCCTCTATTTTACCTATCTGTATATCCTTCACAACAAACTTGTCCATTACATAATATGTATCCCTTAAGAGACACTGCACCATCAATTTGAGCTCATCAACAGTAGCATACTCTGGGACCACCAGAAGTTCACCTGGCGGCAATGGCCGTGTCAACTCTTTAACCAATTCATTGTAACTTGGCCTAAGCCGGAGAACAAGCCCTAGAAATGAATCCTGATCATTATTGCCCTTAAATTGCCACTGTTTGGCAAAATGCTTGCTATCCAAGATTGCTCTGATTGCTAGGGTAACTGAATGAGAATCAGGGTAGCCCAATAAAACATAATTGTACAAAAAATGCAAATCCTTGTTAACATCTAATCCTGGTTCTAGAGCTAGAATATCAGCCTGGGACTCCATTTTCTTTTCACTTTTCCCTTCATGAACAACATCTTGAAGTGAAATCACTAACTTTCTGGTAACGGGGTTGACAACACGATGAATGAATTGATTTTCCACCACAACCTTATCGATGTTTTTTATAACAAAGTCAATCAAACCAGTGTCACCAATGTGTTGTCTAACAGCATCACGCAAGGCTTGCCGATCCATTTTGGATCCATTAGCTTCCAAAGTAGTGAGTACCACTCTGACAACATCATCCAATCTTCTCGCAGGCCATCTACTCTCATCGAATTTAGCAATAAAAGAAAAGGAACTGTGGTGGTTTGGATCCTTAAATAAACAAGTTTCTGGTTGTCGGGCTCTTTGTATTGATGATTTTGATGGAATAGCAGCCAATGTCAAGGCTATTTTCCTTCGGATTAGGGGAGTGGAGTTCAGAGCAAGCATGAATTGAAACAAATCACTAATGGTAACCAACCGTGTCTCACTAGCATCCCTATAAATATTAATGATTCTTTTAACCAATTCTCCTTGCCTTTTGTTGATGAAGTCATGAATAATCTTACTGACGTCTAGTGAGCTGAGGATTTGAATAGCTCTCTCATATTTCTGCTGTGTAACCCCAAAGCTTCCACGGCTGAAATTGTAACCCCATTTTCCAAACCATGTACGCCCATAAGCAACTCCATGAAGCAACCTAAGGTCCATGCTTCCGGCTTTCTTTGACAGGTCTTCCACTGAAATTTCACTGAACAAGAAAGGAAAAAAAAAGAAATGAAAAGGGAAAAAAAGAAATATAATGCAAATAAAATAGAAGTCGCAAATGTTATGTTAGATTAGATACCGGGTTTGGAGAATTGAGCAGAGATGATCCCAGAGATTCATGAGTTCTTTCCCATGGAGGAATTTAGAGTTGGCTTCAATTCCATTGATGCATAGGAGATGACCAAAGCCATTGCAGTGAATGAGACCATGCAGGAGATGATTATTTTTCTCAAGAGATTCTTTGTTTAGAGGTTTGTTCCATTGATCGTCCTTTGGAATTATCAGATGATACCTTCTTTTTGACACAAAATGGTGACTCCAACCTTCCAAAAAAAAAAACCAAAAAAATGTAGAAAAATCATTATTTAATCAATCAGACCACATGATAATACTCCAATTTTTTTAAAAAGAAACATATCAGAC